TTTTTGTTTTTTTTTTTAATACACTGAATAATGATTCATAACAATTTTGTGTTACTGTTTTATTTGTATAACTTTAATGAGGCATTAAACGTTAGCAGTCTTTAGATTTAACGGACGTATATTTTCTTGATCATTTATAAATAATTTTTTATATATATATATATATATATATATATATTTTTTTTTTTTTATAAAAACAAGTAAATTTTTTTGAATGCCCCGTTATCGTCGTCATCGTTTTCATTGCCGTAGTTAAGATGAATAGTTTTTATATACAAATGTTAGTCTGTTATTATACACACGTACGCTTTTGTCTGACTGTCAATCAATTAGTAGCAGTTAATAGGCTTATATGCGCGTGCGTGGGTCTGAATAAAATCATGTTCATATCTTTTCAATGTAAGTTATTGATGCTACTATTAGACAGAAAAACGAATCATCTTTATGACATTAAGAAGATGTTTAATAGGAAAAAAATCTTCGTCGGATCATGAAATCGATGCAGTCTGTTCTTCAAGCTTCTTAAAAATTGATTGATCAAGAAAAAACTTTCAAGAATGTAATGCGCTTCTGACGTACCAGCAATTTTGTAAGAAAAATACACGTTTGTTATATGAAAATGATAAAAGATATTTTATTCGAAGTATTACCCATTGCTAGCCATGTGTACTGTTTGCCCACCTGTCTAACAACTTGTGGATGTCACGGCAAAAAACTGTTTCCCGTTTGAGGCAAACCAGTCATCGAACTGCGTAAATGCGTAGCCAGCCCATCCATGCAAATAAATAATAATCAGAAGAACTTGAGTGTGGTGTTGAGTAAGCCATATGGTCTAGTACTTCGCAGTTACGTACTTCTAATTTGTGGTGAACTGCTTTTACCAATCGACGGACGAATGGAAGTTTTGTTAAATAAGATTTAAATCGAGTAATTGTTGTTGGTAGCGTTTGCTATGAACCATTAGGACATTAAGAAATAACAGATCACACTGTTCTGGCTCTGAAAAAGCGATTTAGTCTCGCAATTGATAAAGATGGTAACCCTACGTTTACGCTTAGATTTTTGCACTTGAGATTCTAAAAATAATCACCACTTTACATCTCCAGTTCGGGTAAAATGCAAGAGAGACTTTCTTTCGGGGCATTCGGCAGTGGTGGAAGGGTTTCGTTTTTTATCGAACAAACACACTACAGACAATTACACTCAAAAAATACCCGTACAGAAGCCCTTATGCAGACAGACGAATTCTATAAACTTTCCTACCGGGCGGGCTGATATTATTCCATGGTCTAGTTTACACCTTACCCTATCCACAATCTCCTTTAGACCATAAGTTTATGTGGGCGACCCTGAAAATTTCTACGTCAACTTTTCTACTTGACGGCAGTTTAACAATATTAGTTATTATTAAGGAAATTTTTGTATAAAAACACATTTTAGCTTAAGGACTAATACTGTTGTTATGAATCAGTTTTTTGAAAGATCTATCAATTTATTGAAAAAGATTTCATCCGAAATGTCACCTTATGCAATTGCAATGCGACTTATACGTGCCCCTGGAAAAATTCTGCAAAAATCTTGAAGAAAACAATTTTACTTTCTATACCCATCACCAAGGGGTCAATTCGTTTTGTCAAAACGTTTGCAGCGCTCCGAAGGAAGCTTCAGAAAACCCATAAAGTATATAAATCCTTAATCAGCATCAAATTCTGGAGCGATTTAAGCATGTTCGCCTGTCCGCCAAATGTCTGATGTGAACATTGTCCTGACCACCAAAATAAGGCTCTCGACTTTAAATTTGGCAGAAACATTGGAAGTACTCGCACGCAGGTTGATATTGAAAATCGACGAAATTGATCGAAGGACACGCGTACCGTATTACGTGCAGTGAGAACACCTCTGTTTTACAAAAGGAATAAAAAATTGGTTTTTCGTTAATTACTCATAAACTATAGCATATAAATCTATAACAAATTTCAACAAACATTCTATGAACGGCACTGTAATAACTGTACAAAATTGAAAAACTTGGCCACACCTACTCAATTTTATGGTATGTAATATGGAACGAAGTTTAATCATAACGCACACCAGCAAGCTTCAAAAAGCCCGTAAAGTGTATAAGTTCTTGGTCAGTTTCATATCCGAAATACACCTAAGAATGTCCGTCTGTTCTAATTTTTGGTAAGCATTCGCCCGTTAGCGGAAACGAAAATATTGGTTACGAATTTACAAAAAAAAATTCGGAAGTGTCGTAAACTATCCAAGGGACACGCCTTATACTAAAAAAACTTTTATTTTGAAGATAGAACAAAATCGGCCGCCCAGACTCCATATTATAGAGCTTGAAGATTTAGTTCTTGTACTTTTTTTTTAATCTTTTTTAGGATAACGATGATGAATAGAAGAGATTCGGTCACGATCGAAAATAATTTTCTTCGTTTTTTTTTTTTCTTTATCTAGAATATACCGGGGAATGTTTAGATACAAAGGTGTTTAAGTGCAACTGAGCGGCATCTCAACGACTCATTTTTTTTGGAATAAATTAATTGTATTAAATGATTCGAAAACTGCCAGCTTCATGGAAATTATCCGGAGTTACCCAAACGTATCGGCCCTGAATAATTGAAGTATATAGTTGTCAGCTGAAATAAAAAATTTATACAATTCACCACAACCAGTTACTTTTACGTATTAGTCATTCAAAAAAAAAAAAAAAAAAAAAAAAAAAATTTTTTTAAAATTATAATTAAAGTGCCAATTAAAAAAAAAAACAAAAATAACAAAAAAAAAAAAAAAAAAAAAAAAAACATTTTTAAAAAGTTTATCTTAAAATGGTGCAAAAACAAAAAAAAAAAAAAAAAAAAAATTAATCACATTTAAATCTACTTTTATAGGTATATTCGTTTTATTTACTGATTCCATAGTTGTGAGTGTGTTTAATTATTAAGAAACAAAAAGAATGAATAATTGCTGCCTCGACTTACTGACAGCTACTACTGAATATAACCACATGTTACTCAACTTGTTCGATTTCCTTTGTCCTTACGGTGGCTGTAAGTTGAGCGAAAGAGAAAGAAGACAGAGAGAGAGAGAAGGAGTTATGACGATTATGTATGCGGCAGCAGTTTGAGAGGTGCTTTCGTAATATCTTTTTAAAAAGCGCATTAAAAAAAAAAAATTGAAAACATTTGATGCGTAACGGATTATTGCCGTTGGCTGCCGCTGTTCACATTGTTGGCAATTACAGAATTACCGATGATTTAAAACGATTGCCCATTTGCTATAAAGGTTAAATGTCTAAACTGAATGCGATGGTCATGCCGATGATGATGACTATGCTGACGTCCCTATTAATAATAGTTTTTAATAAATTAAAAAACAAAAAAATATATATATATATAAATATTAATGTATACTCATAGCAACGCACAAAAACCCACCAACATCAACAATAACATCAGTTTTGCATTTGTCAAACGAAAGCAGAAAAAAGACGGCAGAAACGAGAAATGATACAAAAACAGGTAAACTAATAACTCCCGAATAATTTTAGCGACGGTTAATAACATTGCCGATCGACTTAACTTAATGAGAAGTAAAGAAATGCATCGCAGTTGCAGACAGGCAGACACAGTCAGTGCTTTTAGAATTTGTTACACATCAACCAAATGGGTTAATGGTTTGGAATCTAAGGGCATTAACTATTGTTTACGAGCTATGATACAAATACCTTTCACTATATGCTGTCGATGACTAATTCTAGCAAAGTTCGAAAAAAAGCAAAACATTACAACAAATGAAGTCACTAAAGAATTTACATCAGACCTGGACTGAATCTTTGATATCCACGACCTAAAATCAATACAGACAGGTGAACGTGTCAGTCGGCCGATAACGTTAAGATTTTAACTCGATTTAGAAATAAGATGCACGAGTCTTAAATCATTAACTGTTATGGATATGTAGTAAGTTACAGAGTTCTACTTGTGCGACATTTAGATTTGTCAAGGACACACCCATGTTTGCATTGATTATGTTGGCCATTCAAAATTTCAACTCAGCAGGACGTACGTTCATTTAGTGTGAGAGGGACGATAGTTGCAAGCAGATAACATCTGCTTTGGAAGTTAATTCGTTTGCATTTCAATTTTTACAACCATCAGCCTTTGAGAAGTAGACTCGGCGAGTCTGTCGAGGGGAGAAGAACTATTTGCGGCGTGATCACGGTGGACGTCAAAGACGCTTTCAAGTAGGTGCAGAAATTAAGAATGGGGTCCCACAAGGATCAATCCTTGGTCCACTACTACGGAACATAATGCATGACGATATTCTGTGGTTGCAGCTTGCGGTGGATGCAGCGATTGTTGGCTTCACGGATGATATAACTATTGCAGTTACTGCAAAGAGTGCAGGGAAAAAGCGGTGAACGGCGGATGGACGTTCGCACTTATACCAAACGAAGAACAGGGTTTGAGCGGAGATAGCCCCAAGGCGTGATGAAGTGTGGAAGTGTAGAATGTAGCAGATGGATTCATATTTGAGGTGCTCCGAGAACTGCAACACTTGCAAAGGCAGCAGGTGAGAAGAGGAGGCAATGCAAACCAATAAGGCAATCCACTAAGATTCCAAAAGTGCGAAATAACACCAACCAGTAAAGTAATGCCTAACGGTGGTCCTGCGGAGGAGAGTAGTAGACGAATTGTGTGTGCAGGATAGTTTTAGCACATAGGCACCAGGAATGGCGAATTAGGCATGCTCCTGGCATGGGTCGGTTGTATATTTCGGAGATTTCTAGTTCGCATAGCAAAAAAAAACACACACACAGGCACACAAACGCGGAAAAAAAACACGAAACAAAAATCTCTTCGCATCCTTATGTAAGGGTTAAAGAAGGATTTAATTATAGTGAAAACTTATAAATAAAGATAAACGAGAAAGACAGATTAGTGAGCAACAGACGTAAGAGATGTGTTTACTAGAACAATATAAGACGTTACCAGTATGCATATGCCCGAGAGCGTAAGGTGCATTCATGCTTATTGATTTCCCGCAATGGTAATCTTCGTATAGAAAAGTTAACGGATGTATCGAAAGAAGTTTCTTCTGTTTCCTTTTCTTCGTTTCCACTGCAGAGGTTTAGGTTGTGAACTGTTTATTACGGATCTAGGAAATAGAAGCGGGCAGTAGGTTATGTGACTAAATTATTTAAATTTCACCTTGTAAACAATGTTGCGAGGTGCAATGGATGCCAGCAGGCCTGCAGAGATTTTCTTTTCGTCGTTTTCGGTTTATTCCATGCTCACAGATCATGGCACACTATAGAATTGATCATCTTCAATGCCGACGTTCACCTTCAACATCGAAGGGATTATATCCGCCAGCAGGTATAGATGTGTCATACGCTTTTTGATATCCAAAGATGTCCTCCCACACAATGCTTACCAAATTTTAAATGAGGTTATTAGCGCGATTGTTCTTCCATTTTTTTGATGAGAGCTTTCCATTTCGACAATAATGAGCGAACAGGGTTGTAGTAAGCGTGACCAGATTAAAAGCAAGTTTTTTATCGGCAAATTTCTTTATCATAGAATTTTCCCAAGGGATTAACAAGTTTAATAAGCTGTTTCTAGAATAGTCTGAAGACAAATTAGTAAAAAATGAACTTTTGTACATTCACCGAAGATCAGGATAAAAAATTTGTTACTTCCCCGCTTACCATTATCGCTCATTAATAAATTGTTGTCATTTTTACTCTGTATGCACGTTAAGGCAGTTCAGAGAGTGTGGATAAGGTTATTAGGGAAGAAAAGCAATTATTTCAATGTACTCTTCTAGACGACATAAAAATTTTTATTTGTTTTAAATGATTCCAACCTTAAATCCGTAACATGCATCGCGATAGCTATTCAGCTATTCTTCTATAATACTTATCGGATTTCATTTTTATTTTATATTATCATTTTTATCTTCAACATCTGTATCAACAATACCATAAACGAAAATTAATTTAGAAATATTGTGTTGAACAAAAAAAAAAAAAGAGAAAAAAAAGAAAAAAAAATGAACCTCATAAAAAAATTTATTATTACATTTTTTAAATGAATTTAAATCAAAGACAAGTGTCAAGTCCCACTCATAAATATCCACACATATGATACAAATAAACTTTTTGTATACGAGACAGAAGCAGAGACAGATGCCGGCTGAGTAAAATAATATATGTATGTATATATATATCATACATATATAAAAGTATATGCATGCATGCATGCGTTATTTACGTAAATGTGTAGACACGTTGTACTCATGTGGATCGGTGTGCGTAACGCACGACAACGGCAATCTGTTCATTATACACATACAAATGAACGGATACAGAAAAAGACGTACAAAAAACGTACCCACATGTTCGCGAGCAGATTTCTACAATAACAACAAATTAAGCAAAACTAATATAAATTAATAAATTGAAAGGAAACCTATTGAAATGAAAAATCACATAAAATCTTGTGGTGACATAGATATTTTTAGGTCGGTCCCTCACTCGACAAAAAATAATTGTCGATCAAGTTCTTCATAAAATGTAAATGCGAAGACTTGCGTTGTTTCAATTTCGCGTAACTGATGAGATTATATATGTACCGTCATTCCATATGCGTAATAGAGAAGTTAATTGCGCAATTTCCCAAAACTTACTTATTGAAGACAAATATCAATGTACGGCAACAGAATAACGTAACAACGCTTTCATGCGTAATAATTTGTGACTTAGATGATATCATGCAAAGATAGTTATTCTTACGACATTCTTATGTAATTATCTTTATTCTTTGACACTTCGATAAACAAAATAGGCTAAATATAAGCGAGATTAATTCAGCGACACTTAACTTCAACGATTAAAAAAGTTGCAACTTTCGTTTTGTCAGTTCGGGATTAATATCGTCTTGTTCGTGTGCACTAAACATACGATAATTTTTCTATATAATCATTAATTAAGTTTTTTCGGATGAAAGTCAAATCTTAATGCACATACAAAAATTTTGCTTCAAATATTTTAAAAACAAACAGGAAGCACGATTGCTCTCGAAAAACAATTGTTTTTTTTTTTGCCTTTTGATTGTCTTTCTGGTCGCATTATGATGGTTCACAGTTTTGTTTGTACCTCAAACAAAATAAACAAAAAAATCAAAGGTTTTTAATATATCGAAAATCCAATGTTTTTTCTGAAGCCAAACCTAAAATTTCGAAGCAGTCTTGAAAGCCCTGATATCGAGGAAAAGAGATTCGAAGCTTTAACTATCCCCTATAAGGTTATATAAGTTAATTCGGAAAATCGAATTTTTGGTTTAGTTTACAACTTTGTCCCGATCATAATTATTTCTTATGTTATTTCTATATATTTAAGGAAGAATTCAATCCAAAAAATATCCAAAAAATAGGAAAATTAGCGCCTACCAGCATATTTTTTCGTACACTTTGTACGGCACTTCCATATGTAGGTCAAAAATTAGTAAGTTTGGTTTGCTTGGTTATCGATATATCTGTGTATGTATGTATATATGTAGCATCAAGCGCGAGGCTATTCGCCAGAATTATTGCAGCACACTGCAGCTTTTCTGTGAAATTTTGAACATGAATTTAATTCATACCGTACCGCACCGCAGCCGCTCTAGTCGCTTCACTAAGCTTTGCCTGACTACAGACTACGATATGTGATATAACCTAAAATGTCGCACTAAATGAATGTCTAGAATGTGTGTGCAAAAAAGGAGAGACAAGATTTGGGTCGACAAGATTCATTTTCGTGTTGTTTGTTACGCTTCTTTCTCAGTGTTTTGCACTGATAAAAAGGGTACGTCTTTAAAAAGGGACGACTTTAAAAGAGAAGGATTGGCCGGCAAAGAGGAATACCTTGCTTAATCGGAAAATACAGTTGAGAAACTGAATAAAGAGGCAGCATTAGGTAGCTATTACAAAAGAAATGTTTTGATCTAGAGATTTTATCTGATTACCAAAGATAAATTTACGTTTTATGGGTTAAGATTAACACAGTAAATGGATTAAGTTTTCTCTGTTTTTTTTTTTTTTTTTATTGGTGATACGCATTTATGTAACTGTTGACACGTTCTTGATTGTTATTGTAAAGGACTAAGAAATAAAACATCAAAATTGAAGTAAAAGGAAAGGAGACACTAAACTGCATTTAGGGAACACATGTTAGGTTTAAAGTACCCTCTAAAGAGATAATTTTTAAAAACATTTCCATTTGCCCAGCTATATATATATATATATGTATAGCCACTAGAGCTTATCCAAACACTTGTAATTTATATACCCAAATAAAAAAATATACATGTGTTGTCAAATTACTTATGCACGTGCACAATACACTGAAAAGAAATTTGGGAAAAAAGAGTGTCGTTGCCATCCATAATCGATTGCCTATTACAGTAAAATATAAGAGAATGTAGCTATTTATTGGTATCTAAAAAAAATATTGCATGCGATAATTTTTAGTAACTTACTTGCATCAATTAGGATCTATCAGCAGCAGTAACAATGATAATAAGTCAATTTATGGAAACTAAATAAATGTTCTCTAGGAACTACATTTGCCTAAAAAGAAAATACAAATACGGGAAAGAGGCTCCATACGGTGCGAACGGATGTTTATAGATAGTCACTAATATTTTGGAATTTTCAAAATTGTTTTATTACGTTTCATAAAGTAAGAAAAAAATCTTTTCGTACAAGCAAGAAAGGTTGCGTGCTACTATGCTTTAGTTAGCCTAAGTAATTATCTAAGAGGCAAACCATTTATATAGATGATGTTCCATTGCTTCTTAATCTTCCTTACCGCATTTATGCCTCACAAATGTAATCGCTTATCCGTGGCACTGTCGATAACTCGAACTCGTTTTTGCGAAGCTTTTGTTTCCTTCTATTTCTCGTTTCCTTGCCTTTTTTTTTTGTTGCAAAAGCGACGATTCTCATCATCTCCATTATCTTTATATGGTAATGATGTTTGTCAGATGCTGGACTGGGTTAAAATTTAAGTCGTAAATTAATGACAGTAAAAGAGTGGATAGTAAGCAACATAAATTTTCTACACACTCTATTTTTAAAGGATTGGTTAGTTACTTTAAAGAAAAAAGCTCTTACTATATTAGCAAGTGAGAGAATTCTTGATATGTTTATAAGTGAATTTTGTTACTAAGCACACAAGTTCAATTTATTGTAAAGCATATCGCAGCAGCTTTTGAGCAATGTCTCCGAATTTTGCGTCCGAGGCAAGTGAGAGAGAAATTTTCATATATTATTATAACAAATATTCTGCGTGAAACGAATTGACTTTCACTTCACTGTATTCGTATATTGTTTTCGTGCGAATTTAATTTTGGAATTTATTTCAAATAAACGAATTCCTCTTTTGCGATCAGTCTTGCGGTAGTTTCTAATCCATCCATTTTTTTTCACCTGTGGCCTGTGTGTCATTGGAAATCCTGATATTACAGAATTAAGTTAAAAAGGTGCATAGTCTTAAGCATATAAAAATTAATATTAAAGTCAAACAAGGCCGATTATTAATTACCGTACCGTACACCGCTATTTTTTTAAAATAATTCTTTAATTATTTTCATAATAACATACTAAGAAGTACAACCTGCTCCAATGTAAAGGTTCACTTTTCATGGAAGTGTCCTTGTTTGGGAAGGGAACCAAAAACAAAATGACGTTGTCCAAATTTAGCAAAAAAGATTTTACTTCTTCAAAGATTTTCGTCATAACGTATTAAATGAGGCTTAATTTATATGAGGCTTAATTTATATAACCTGGTAGTCAAATAATAGACTTACAAAAGCTGAAACTTGTTATATGTAAGTAACTCTTATGAGAAATTGCTTTTATGAACGAGTGAGTTTTGACTACGAAATTTTAAATATCTAAATGATTCGGCATATAAAGGCGTTCTTTTCGTCGGATCAATTCTATAGAAGAGAGGGGTCAATGAAAAGTTGACTCATCCGATCAAAATTTTTAATATGCTTTTGCTGAATGATATGCTGAAATAGTATTTTTCAGATATTTTTCTTGAGCTTATCCTCCATAAGTAGCACTTGTGGTAAGGATAGCTAAGTTTGTTGGATATATGCAACACCTAGCCAAGGAATTCAAGGAATTATTAACTGAATCGATTTAAGCATGCCCATCGATCATCTGTCATTTTGATATCTGTGCCATGGAATTTTGTAT